CCCCTCCCCCACCCACACTCCTCGAGCGCACGATAAATTAACACAAAGTCATGAAACATTCTGCATTGTTTATGTTTCATTTTTGCAGTGAACCCTCACCCGCCCCGGTTTGCTCTGCCTGTGGTTGCCACATGGTGTCGTCGTCGTCGTCCGCGCCAGGCCCATCCTCCGGTAGCAGCAGCAGACTTCACCGACTTTTCATGGAATATTCCTCGCACACCTTGCGCCCGCGCGCTCGGCCCAGGTGGAACGTGAAGTGCACGGGGGGGCACAACGACGACGACGACGACGAAGAGGAGGACTGTCGGGGGTCGTGGACGGACCTCACGGACGAGTAAGGTAACGGCGCTGTCGGCTGATTGCGACTGATGCGCTGCCCGGGCCGGGGCCGGGGGCTGCGTCCTCAACCGAAGCCAGCTGTTTGTGTTGTTTTGCGTTTTCGCACGCCCGCGTCCCGTCTGCTCGGCTACTACTGTGCGAGAGGGAGGGGAGTTGGGGTGCGCTCTCCTGCTGGAGAATTTGCACGATTTGCTTTTCGGAGCCGCCCTGGACGACAGTAACGGCATTTCGGGTGTGGCGTGTTTAATAAATTATATTCTGAAGTATTCGATGGAAAAAGGTCGAGCTCGCACATTATTATTGCCCTGCTGTTGACGCACAAGCGTGTGCACAGAGCCCCCTTTCCGTTCGCAGATCTCTACGACCTCTCTCTCTGTAGGGCTTCCCTCAATTCCGCGGCGGGCATTCCCTTATTGCGCCGTGGGATCACGATCACACGCGCCCCTCCTCCGGGCCCTAGTCTATAAATAGCATCCACCTTGCTCCCGGCCCGCCCGGCCCGGGGTTCACCCTGCTATGGCCGCGCTGGCCTGGCTCGCCCACTTCTTGCCCGTAAGGATATTGATTTTCTACCCTGCCGGGGTGGGGCCCGGCCCCGGGGGGTGGCTGGCCCAGGAGGCGGCTGCTGCCGCGGCAGCCCGGGCCGGGCGAGGGGAGGGGAGAGGGGAGGGGAGAGGGGAGGGGAGGGAGTACTCTGCTCTGCTTCAGCCCACTTCCTCCAGTCTGCGCCACCCGCGCTTTCTGCCTGATAGTTTTCATTCCGAGTTTTGTTTATACACTTTGACAGGAAGCCCAAAACAGCCCTGTATTCTGTAAAATTGCGGGATTTTTCGGCCCTCTACGCAGTTAAGTGTTTGTCGTCGTCGGAAGACCCACTTTGAATCGCCAGAACACGAGTCTCGTATTGTGGGAAGGTAATGATTGTGTTCTGGTCTAACCTCCATGTTGTAAACAAAAGTGACATGTATCAAAAGTCCTGGGCCAATGTTGAACTGAATAAATTGTTTTTCAGTTTTCAGAATGAGTCTACAAACCATTGCTGATCAGACGGACCTCATCAAGGAGTCACTTCTTTCTTTCATTCAAACCAAATTGCCCGAAGCACAGCTAATGTATGGAAACTACCATCCTCAAAGAAAATCTTTTATTATGGTTTTGTTTGTATGCTTTTCTAATAAGGGTTTAATCCTTTCTACAGTGTTGATGACATAGTATTAAATTACTTTGTAAGCATCCTAGAAGAACTTGGGGAAAGCCAAGAGCACTCTGACTTTGACATTGATGGCTTTTGTGAAATGATGTCAGGATTTGTTGAAAATTTCTCAACAATTCCTCAAGTTGAGGTAGCTACATGGATGTTTGAATTGGAAGCAAGACTCCGTGATCTTCGCAATCATGGTACATATTTTATATTCTACTTCACCTACCTTCATTCATTGTTTCTATCCCAAAACTCATCAAATGATTTACATCCATTTGCAGTCAACAGTGATGAGCGGAAGGCAGAGTTTTTGTCAGCTTTGTTGGCTCCCATTGTACTTGAATCATCCAAACAAACAACTCGTACCCCTCATACATCAGAGTCGAGCCTTCCTGGTAATGAGGACCCGCCAGCCAAACGAGTTTACTTATTGTCAGAAACAAGCGACGGGGCATCTGATGGCTCAAGCAGTGGTGATTCTCTAAGTGCTTATGATGTAGGTCCCTATAACACACTTATCTAATGAGCATTTTATGTGTCTTTGGTAAACTGAAAGTGGCTTTTGTTTATTTTCAGGAAGCTGTGTATGTTCTGCAAGAGATGTTCCCTACAGCAAGTCTCCCAGAAATACAGCACTGTGTATCAGTAGGAGAAGGAGATGCAGGACGAGCAGCTCAACTTGTCATTGATCGCATGGAAACAGGCCTGAGCATTTTGCCTTCAACAGCTGTGTTGCAGGTTTGTAATTTCTGTGTTTTTATCACTATTGATCCATTCAACTTGTGGATTCCAAGTTTCAAAATAATTTAGTTTTTGTATTTTTAATTTTACTTTGTATTTGCAGAAGGGAGTTATGCGCGATAAGCCAGTAAATGATGATGAATTGAAATCTCGTATCATTGCCAAATATAGTTATGTTGACCGTGAAGATGACCATCGTGAGCACCATCCAATCCAACCAAAATCTGTACGTTGAGCTCTGCTCTACTGTATAAAAAACAACAAAAAAACACATCTAATTTTATATCTTTGCCAACAAATATGAAAAGTGAATGTTTTTATCTGCAGGAACCAAAGAAACTTGTGCGCTATCGAGACAATAAAATTGTAAGCTTGAAGGGAGAGCGCTTTACAGAGGTCAAGAAGGAGGATATGGAAGAGCCAAAGAAACCTGTGGCTTCTGTTAAGCCACCAAGGAAGAGTAATAACCACTGATCTTTGTAGCAAGCGGCCGTCTGGGGCACGGACCGCTTTGCACGCTTTGCAGCAAATAGGCCCCTACTAGTCATCAGTAAGTTTTTGATCGATTTCATTTATGGCGTATATTTGTATTGCTTCCTTAAAAACTTGACTAATTCTTGTGACATGGTTCCATTTGTAGCAGAGCGCAGCCCAGAGAGATAGTAATAGTGTAAGCGCAGTGCAGTCTCAGACGGAGTCAGCAGCTGCGAATTTGGGTGATGTTGCTCAGTAGGGCAGTTCAGTGTCATACCAACTCCTCTGTGATGTTATTGAGATATATCTTTGTCATCTCCACATTCTGTCACATTATTTGTGCTTCATCTGTGCCAGTGAAATCTATATTCATATCTTCTGCAAGGTATTCAAGATATGCTAGAAGTGTTAACCAATTGTAACATGGTGAGATAAAGCCAGGTAGATTCAAGTGACATAAGAGAATGTTAATTCCAAGTTTAGGATCCATCAGTCTCTTCTCTGTTCTTCCCCAATTAGGTTTTTTTTCTCCCACTTTTCCTTTTTGTACTTTTAGAATCATGTTATGTTCAAAGATGAGGTGTAATACCAGCTTCTTTATGTTTTTGTTTTTTTAAACTGAAATATTCATCTCTTGCATGGTTTGTCAATGATTTATTTACCTTTGCACTCCCTATTCCGTTGATATCTTGTTCAAGCCTTGTACTCAGTATTCTTATTCATGACAAATCCATTCTGTACATAGATGTGTGTTGAAAAAGTAACTAAAAATTTCATAAAAAAAGTCATCAACCTTAGTAATTTTTTTGTAGCCTCACTGAATTTGTTTATTGATGTCTCTTTCTGTCTTTCTTTTCATAGATTATACATTCCAATAGCAATAGATTTTTTTCCATATTTTGGATCATTTCTAGCCTTAAGAGTAAATTGGTTCTCAGTTATCAAAAATCACAATGCATGTACGTAAAAGGTATGTGGTGTGGCAGAAGAATGAAAGGAGAGTTTGTGCTCAAAACACTTGTATTTCACCTTGCCCTCTGTTTGACATAGGAATTATAAGTCTGATGATTTGACTAATGAGATTTACATCATTGTAGAAGAAGCTCTTGACCCAGTCACTTTATATGTATGTGGCTTTGTTTTAATTCAGGAGGGAGGTTTTCAGTGTTCACTTTGTTTGTTAACACTTTTCTTATTATTAATTAATTATTTTATGCATTTACCGTCAATCGCAAAGGTTAACATGTTGGAAACGCACATGATCTTTTAGAAATATTCTGGTGCTTTCCATTGAAGACATTAAAGTTCTTCACTTCAACTGTGCTCCTTTTGTAGTTGTTGTTCACCAGTTTGCTCTCTTTCACTTCCAGCTCTTAAACTTATTTGTATTTTTCTTACTTCTTTAGACAGCTTTGGCTGTGTATGTACTGCATCCACACTGTTGGGTGCTTTTATTTTGTATTTAGTTTTACGCAATCCATGCAATGGTTTACAGAGCGGTTTTTATTACTTTGTCATTTGTCATCATCACATATTTTAATTATAGCAAATTTGTTTTTGCTAATAAGCCAAACTATACCAAAGAGATTTATTTGCTTTGTGAGAATATTGTTGTGTTCTACTGAAAACCCTGCCAGTTTCAGTTACCTTCTTTAAAGTTTATTTATTAATGTACTTTACAAAAGTTATTTGTTTTTAAAGCCTTTGAGCTAAGTTAATGAGACAGCAGTATTATGAATGTGTTTCTTTTTCCCTTCAACTAAATTTTCTTTTTTTGGTGTAATGTAATTTGAATTTCCGAAACCTTGGTCAATAGTTGTTTCCAGAGTTTCTCAGTGTGTATCTTAGTACTGTGTCTTTGTTAATAGCTTTGTTTGTATTTGTAGGAATGTATTATTATAAATTACATTCTCTCGTGAATCTTAACCATCTTGTATGTAGTGTACGTAGTATAATATTGAGATAAATTATCTGCTTTGTGTATGTTGGATTGCTGTTCATCTATCAGGAAGCGTCTTGGTACTTAATCGTTCCTCTAAAAGTTTGGCTTTGCTTTCAGACCATGTAGCATCTACATACAAGTTGATCTCATTGTAAATTTTAATATTGAGCCATACTTGGAGTACCTTATTACTTGATCAAATTCCAATCAATTCCACAGAGAAATGGAAAGAAATGTTATGCCTGCTCCATGCGGCTCCATGGTATAAATGGTCTGTAACAGTGGGAAGGTGCTCCTGTTGTTGTATGCAAGATAGAAATGATCCCCTCCCCCGTTAAAAATGGTTGTATTTGTAACTCTTCGTCAATGTGTGACAAATTTATTTCTTCTCTCCCCTTGTAACTTGTTTTATCAGATCAATTCTGTTATACAGTAGTTGGGCTGTGTTTTAAATATTTCATTTGTAGATATGTATGATTATTAGAACTGTTCCTAATACTATATTAACAAATTTAACCCAAGAAGATAATTTAAGCATTTATCCTTTGTAAAATTGAACATAGCATTCCCAAGGAAACCAGCTCTATCAAAAATGTAAGTTTCTGCTCAGCTTTTACAACATAATAGTACTTGTTTACTATATGATAAGCCATACCTACACCTGCCTTGCCATGATCTAGCATTATCTTTTTTCCGGTTGGTCAAACTTTCAGTATCTTTAATTTAAATCCCACTAATCATGCAATTTTAAATTACCTGTTTTGTTTTATTTAAAAATCAGTTATAAATCTCTTAATTGTTAAGAAGTAGCATTTGTTTGGTGTTGGGAAATTTTTGTGTTGTTTTGAGACTTGTACAATTTTTTCTTGTTTTTGCTTATTTATATTTGAAATTACAACTTGTGCTTAGGTGTGCAAAGGCATTGAACAGTTTTAAAAACGCTTATTTCATTCCCTTGTTTTACAGTGGTGGGAATTTAAGTTCCTGCCCATGTAGAAATGGTTACAACACATAATCTCTAATTTGGACTGTCAATAGAAATACCGTAGTTCACCCTGTTTCCAGGTATTTCCTTTGAACTCAAGACTTCTCAATCTGAGGAGTATGAATCTCAATTTTTCCCCAAATATATACATAAAGTTCTTCTTGTGCATAATTTGTTTTATTTCTTACCCACAACTCTAGGAAACGTCCGGAAGGTTTTTTCACCGAAAATGTCCCACATACCACAGGGGGCGCCCCGATTGTCCGAAGCTCGTCTGTCCGAACCTAATTTATCTATTTTAGTAAATAAAATGAGTAAAGTAGTTAATTACATTATGTTATTTCTAGTGGCAGTTGTTGAAATAAGAGCTAAATCAGGTACAGATACCATCAGGAGGGCAAACGAAGTGCCTAACTGCAGTTCCGGGCCTGGAAAAGGGTAAA